TGTTAATAACTTCTCTGTATTAGGATGGATTGTTAATAACTTCTCTGTATTAGGATGGATTGCTAATGACTACTCTAAGTATGTTCAGTAGAACAGTGTTTTTATCGTATATATCTTGCAGGACACTGGAAAAACTTTTCAACCAAAAACTTAGATTTTGAGGGTTGAGAACCATCTGAGCAGAGGACCGTTTTATTGAAAGAGAATTCGCGTCACTTTAACAACGGTCTCCAACAAATTATATCTGTTTTGCCAGCAGTGTACTTAATTCGATAAACACATTTATTGGTGTGTGTATTTTGTATTTATGGCAAAGCCACTAAGGCTGTCTGCCGCCGTCCCTAATTTCCAATTACTGGCCAGAGGGAAGTCACCCATTCAGCAGCACCCTACCATGCTAACAGATTGTTTGTCATTTATAATTCATTCACAGCTTAAAGTGGGAGGAATATTTTGTGGTATCGCAAGGATTCAAGTCCGACTTGCCAGCTTCAAGATCTAGAACTCTACCACAGGATCAAACCGCGTCCCAAACATTTTTTAGACCTGTAATGAGTCGGTCTTTAAACATGGTTTGTATTAGTGTTTGATATTTTGACCTCTGTATATTAAGCTACACTTTTAGTTACACCTACTTTATACACGAGAAAGTCCTAACAGTGGCATTTTGTAATGATCCGGTTTTACATAACGACTGGTATTTAATCAATAAGGGCGTGGAATGTCCATGTGATAGAACTCTGGATTTCGAAGCTGACGTGCCGGGTTCGAATCTGTCCGATAATACAAAATACCCCCCCCCCAAAAAAAGAAAGAAACACACTTTAAACTGTGGATGATGTGGATGATGCTGACAGGCTACTCTTAAATACAGTGGCGGATAGCCTTAGTAGAGTTGTTATAAGTACAGAATACGATCGATACATGAGTATTCGGATAATGTCAGCTGTCGAAAATAAAACCATCTACGCCATGCGTTAAGCACTTTAAAACGCATGGGAAGTATTAGGAGAATTTTTGTTGAATTACGCGCAAAGCTACTCCAGGGATATCTGTGCTAGGATAGTGTTGTATGTGTAACAAATTAATATTAACCTCGGATCAAAGTGAGCTACTTACTTAGAGCAAAACTAGAAATCAACTAAGATGATACTGAACACATAACTTTGAAGTACTGGAGGATAATATGAAACACGTTTTTACTGAATACCTTTATGTATCTGTATGCATTCGAAAGTTGACACTATTTTAATTGTTTAACGAGAAGAAATATTTGGTATTGTTCCGTTAGTCGTGTTTAACGTTTATTGTTAGGGCACGTACGTGACAGTCAGTATTGAGTTGTTGAGTGGAATGCCTTTTCACACTAAACGCTCACATTGTGTGCATATGTACGGTATATAGATGTTGGATGTATTACAGTACGTGTTGACAATTAATAAAATTCTAGCATGTAAGATAGTGTTCTGTCTCAACTCGAAGAACCTGATCGCGTGGTCAGGTTACATAATATGTTTTTAATACATGTTCTGTGTCTACTTGAAGAACCGGATCAAGTGGTCATGTTACATAATCTGTTTTTAATACATGTTCTGTATCTACTTGAAGAACCGGATCAAGTGGTCATGTTACATAATCTGATTTTAATACATGTTCTGTGTCTACTTGAATAACCGGATCGCGTGGTCATGTTACATAATCTGTTTTTAATGCCCACTCTGTGTCTACTTGAAGAACGTGATCGCGTGATCAGGTTACACAATCTGTTTTTAGTGCATGTTCCGTGTCTACTAGAAGAACCGGATTAGGTTACATAATCTGTTTTTAATGCATGCTCCGTGTCTACTAGAAGAACCGGATCGCATGGTCAGGTTACATAATCTGTTTTTAATGCATGCTCCGTGTCTACTAGAAGAACCGGATCGCATGGTCAGGTTACATAATCTGTTTTTAATGCATGATCCGTGTTTACTAGAAGAATCGGATCGCGTGGTCAGGTTACATAATGTACTTTTGATGTAATTTACAATTATTTTCTGAATTGGTTAAAAACTAATTCCAATAAATATTGTAATATAATACCGCATATAAGTCTGCTGTTATTTTCGTATTTAAATTTTTATTACAAAGTTCTGTATCGTATCTCTATATCAGAGGTATTTTTTTTATTCGCGCTTAACCGTCGGAAGTGCCAACGGGGTCCAGCTTCTCTTAGCTTTTTTAAACACGTTTTCCCAAAATGTTTATATACCGAACTGCTTGTGGGTCAATAGCTTTGTTGTTTTAAAAGCGATTTAAAGAAAAATATCATCAAAATTCCAATTAATCCAACTAGATACTACTGGCGCCCCCTATATATTTTGTATAGAAAATAAATGAGATCAATCCTTTTTTTTTCAGCTATTTATAGTGATGTGGCAAGCAAAGACAAAGTTATTGAGTTTGTTTGTTTTGAATTTCGCGCAAAGCTACACGAGGGTTATCTGCAGTAGCCGTCCCTAATTTAACAGTTAAAGACTAGAGGGAAGACAGCTAGTCATCACCACCCATCGCCAACTTTTGGGCTACTCTTTTACCAACGAATAGTGGGATTGACCGTCACATTATAATGTACCACGGCTAAAAGGACGAGCATGTTTGGTGGGACGGGGGATTCGAACCCGCGACCCTCAGGTTGCGAGTCAAGCGCCCTAACCACCTGGCCATGTCGGGCCAAGTTACTGAGTACGAAGCAATACAGGGGCCTCTCCCACGGTAAACTGCATAAAAACTGGTTGGTATTTAAAAATAAACGACGTAGTGTAAAAGTCCTAAAATAATCGATCATTTTACGTGTTTGTTTTTTTACTTCTGTCAAGGGCGGCTAATTGTCAAAACTTTTACAAGCTATTTGTAAACAAATCTTAAAATTATCCTCTGGTAACTTAGCGGCAAATTCAATCCCTACAACGCAAAACAACTCGGACACTAAAACTAATAAATTTACTATTTACAGTGTGCATGCTCGGAACTTTTCACAGTCTGTTAAAAAAATAATTTTTGTTTGTTTACGTTTCTTGTCTGGATTGTCAATTCTGTTTACAGAAATAAACCAATCCTCTATATATTTTCCTTACTTGACACTTACTATTCGGGGCTCACATATTTTTCTTAAAACATTCTGATCAAAAAGTATGCCCTTCTGGGCTCCTTAGCGTTAATTAACGCTCTATACGGTGCAGCATGGCCTCATTTAATTGCAGATTTGCACTGAATTGCTACTTGTCAGTTTCAGTTCAATTTACTTTAATTCTGGAATAAAGAGACGTGTCACGAAAGAATTACAAAACGAGGAGTCCATCTGCCATAACTTTTACATATGCTTCTCGTGCATATAAGGTCATGCTTGTCAAAGCATGTCTATTTCAACTAATGGATGTGATGCCAGGTAATTATTTCTTGTCGTCTATTTCTATAGAGCCACTAAATAAACACCCTGTTAGTCGGTCAGAACTCTTTACTACAAATATATTCTGGCTAACAGAAGTATTAGTAAGTATGTTAATTGAAATCCAAAGATAGTTTTGACATGTAAACTTCAACCATAAAATATCTGATGTACTCCTCCTACCCTGTACAACCATCTTACCAATTCATACACCAATGAATTTTAGGTCTAATTGCAATGTAAATTTCATTCTTCAGATTATAAAGATGATGAATAATTTATAATCTTCACATTAAGAATATGGAAGGAACTTTACAACAATCAGTAGATTTCAGTTTTTACTTTTTTTATTTACAGTCTGTGTATGTTGAGAAACTCGGTGTCCTATTTTTTCTGAAACGAAAGTAGATCAAGAATACTTTTTTGTTGGTTCAGAGATTATTGAGTACCTTTTGCAACTAGTTTAACCACGATAATTTGATACTTGGCCCGGCATGGCCAGGTGGTTAGGGCGCTCTCCTCGCAATCTGCGGGTCGCGGGTTCGAATCTCCGTCCCATCAAACATGTTCGCCCTTTCAGCCGTGGGGGCGTTATAAGTGACGGTCAATCCCACTATTGTTGGTAAACGAGTAGCCCAAGAGTTGGCGGAGGGTGGTGATGACTAGCTGCCTTCCCTCTAGTCTTACACCGCTAAATTTGGGACGGCTAGCGCAGATATCCCTCGTGTAGCCTTACGCGAAATTCAATACAAACAAACAAACAAATTTGATACATTTTCGTTTGACTCACAATTAATAATTTTCATGTTTCAATTATAACTATTGATTCATAAATGTGGCGCGGGTTGACCAAGTGATAGAATTTTGGATTTCGAAGTTGGCGAGTCGGGTTCGAATCCATGTGATACTACAAAAATCTTTCCAACTCTTTAAGATGTGGGTGTTTTATGAGAATGACAGCCGTAGAAAGGATGATGGGTGGTAGGGTGCTGTTCAGTAGTTAAATTTAGAGACGGCAGTAGATTTTCTTAGTATAACATTTCTATAAACACAAAACAATATTATTAATAAGCTTTCTTCAAAAATAGTTTGCTAGAAACATCATTTCAAGTGTTTTCAAGGCACAGTGACTGCTACATTTTGTCAGAACAGATTCTTAGACTTAAGTTAATTAACTAGTTCCATGTTTAAGAAATATACTTATCACCATTTGATACTTTAGTCATTCACGCATTTCAGGCAAAATTAGATCCCATTCTCATTGACCAAATAAATCAAATAGTTGACTAGTACAGTGCTATTACTGTAGTTCAATGAATGTGGGCTACGGTTATTTTCAAAAATGATCATGAAAACACAGCGGAACCTTTTTCGTAAAGTAAGAGAACAAAGCAACCGACTTCCGTAGCGTGCATAGCTGTAGTTCAATTAATAAATGTTACAATTATTTGCAAAAGGTTATCATAAAGACCAATAGAGCCTTTTTTACATATAAAATAGAAAGTTTTCTAACGAGACATTTACTTTAAAAAATAAGAAGCATTTAAAAAAACGACTTTTCTTGTTTTATTAGTTGTACGAGCTGAGTGATGACCCCCAGAGAAAAGAATTCTTGGATGACCTCTTCCAATTTATGCAGAAACGAGGTAAGATACCATATTTCCTTTTAAAAAAAAATCTTTCTCTTGCAGCTTAGTAACCGTCTGGAAAGATACAATATTTCCTTTAAAAAAAAACTTTCTCTTGCACCTTAGTAACCGTCTGGAAAGATACCATATTTCCTTTAAAAAAAACTTTCTCTTGCACCTTAGTAACCGTCTGGAAAGATACAATATTTCCTTTAAAAAAAAAACTTTTTCTTGCACCTTAGTAACCGTCTGGAAAGATACAATATTTCCTTTAAAAAAAAAATTTTCTCTTGCACCTTAGTAACCGTCTGGAAAGATCGAATGTAATTATTGTTGTTTTTTTCTGTAGTTAAGCTATGCTTTTAGGAAAGATTGTTTTCGTGAACAAACTCCAGTTTGTATGTGGTATTTTGTTTTATCTCAACACTAATGATATTATTAAGGGGGATAAGGTATTGATGCATCATATAACGTTTCAACCCAGATTGAGTAGTTTTATTTGTTCTATGGTTATCTTTACTTTAGTTTCCATGACAGCCCATCCATATTACAGAAGATTGAATGTTTGTAATGTCTCAAGAATATGTTCTGATCTTTATTGGCAGTCATTAGACATCTAAATAAAATCCAAAGCATAAAGCTTAAAATAGAATAGTATAATGTTCATATATTACCAGTAAAAAAAAACAAATCTTATTAATGTGAGTATAAGAAAAACCTTCCACTCTTATTGAATAATCAGTGATAAAAAGACGCGAGAGGGAAAAATAAGTTACTTTTCATACCAATGATAGGTAAGGTCGTTTAACTTTTATTGTTTTGGTTTTTCTCACAAAAATCAGTATGATTGAATGACAACAGTGTGTGCTTAACTGTTCTTGTTTTATAAAGTGTAAAAAAAAATCATGCATATCTGTATTAAACCCAGTAATCTGATGTGATCATTTTACACACTTTCATGCATATCTGTATAAAACCCAGTAATCTGATGTGATCATTTTACACACTTTCATGCATATCTGTATAAAACCCAGTAATCTGATGTGATCATTTTACACACTTTCATGCATATCTGTATTAAACCCAGTAATCTGATGTGATCATTTTACACACTTTCATACATATCTGTATAAAACCCAGTAATCTGATGTGATTATTTTACACACTTTCAGGAACGAGTACGAAGTTATCAATCTCAAATTTATTCAAATCTGTTTGTTTGAATTCTCAGTATTAGATAATTGCGAAAAGCCTGACCAAAGGAAATACCACTAAATTTCACAGTCCACTTATATATATCTCCAAATATATATTGTATGTAAATGTGATATATCACTCACCATTTTTATGTATGTATGTGTGTATTAGGCCTAATGCTTTTGGTTATCATATAGATATAGAAACACACATACATTATATGTGTGTTTATAGAGTGCTTTGTGTGTGTGTGTGTATGTAACATATATAAAATACGCACCAATCATCACGTTCACCACTACTGTTTCAAATTAGTAAAATTAACAAGTCAAATTTGAATCTAACTGAAGTTGATTGAGAGAGTGGAACTATAGTTCCCAGTTATGATAAATTATGCCCCCCAGAATATACATGGAAGGGTTTATATGTTGTTTGTTTGTTTGTTTTTTTCCTTCTGTCCTCGTACCTGAATTCTGTTAATAAAGACGTACATAATATATATGCACATTTATATACAAAACAATAAATATCCAGCTGATTATACGAACGTCCTTTGCAAATAACACATAATAACGTACGAAGATGAAAAACGTGACTGGCTGTAGCCGTCTTTACACATCGCTCTCAGGTCTTCCCGCGTTGTTTTGTTCGTGTTTCGGCAGTCTCATTCATCCATATTCATGATCTCTTAGAGTCAAACTACTGGAACAGCGCAGGCGTTTTATTGAATAAGGTTGGAGTAGAATTAAACATACATCACCCTGTGTCTTTTGTTGTTGTTGTTTTTTTTTCTTACAAAGCATGGCGTGTGGTAAGTGTAATAAAAGACAAAAGTAGACTTAAGGTGAATTTTAGATGTTGTAGTACTTCCCTATGTTTACCAGAATATAAAAAGTGTGTGTATTGGTTGTAATAAACTGGTAGAAAAATATTTTGTTTTATACTTTCCCTTTACATGCTAGGTAACGTAACATTATAACTAAGATTAGAATAATTGTACTTATGGAATCTAGTACAGCCGTTTCAAAAAAGTGCATATAGGCATTTCGTATATGATTTTTTTTTCAAATATATATATCCCTCCATTTTCTTGTTTAATAAGATATTTGGGTAAACACTGGGAAGGGTGTACTGTATTTGTTATAGTTGTTTTGTGTGCTCTTATAAGCACTATATCAAATGCGAGTCTTATGGCTTGAGAACAGAGAAGAACCACAAATTTATATGGTAAATATTTAGTCGTGGTAAAAGCAAACATTCAATACTATTTAGCTCTTCAAAGAGCCCTGATTGTACAGTTTGTCTAGAGCTGGTTGTATGGTGTAGCTTTAAACACACAACGTTAACTCCCCGAGGGGGTTCAGCCATGTTCTGTTTTAATGCTTTCTTCTGGTAAATACGGAGCATCACATGGTTTTTACCGTGCGGATACTGTCGGCAGTCTTTTGCTTTTGCAAAGGTCAATTACCTAATATTTTCAAGTGTTTAGAAAGGGTGGGGAAGGCCAGAAACCGCAGGGTTTTTAAAATATACCTCGTTCTCTTCAACTAACCCCCAAACCTCTTCCTTATTTTCCCATGTCGTCAACATACCTGGGAAACAACTTCCGACGTATTGTTCATAGTGAACACACCCGTACAATAACGTCTATGTATTGTTTATTTATTAAAACGAACCAGAAAGTTTCTTAGAAGCCATCGCATTTTTATTAACAAATGAATAAGCATAATATGGTGTTATATCTATTTTTTTTTTAGTTCAACTGTTCGCCATTTTGACAAACACCAAGCTAAGTTATTCTAAAATAAAACGAGGTTCGCACGAAGTAATCGTTTTTTTAGAATAGAAATGAAAGCCTTTTTCTTTCAAAGCGTCAATAAAACCAACATCCATGCAGTAAAACTCGTCTATTAAAAGAACTACGTTAACACAAGATTTGGATCTCACAGTCATTGATTGTATTAATTTTATTGTGAATTCTAAAGTACACGTTGAATGTAAGAACTTACTGAACACTAAAATGTAAGAACTTACTGAACACTAAATTCTTTTGGAACAATAACCGTCTCGCTGCGCTTTTAAACCACGTCAAACTGCAGTTTCTGGTGCGATATGGAATCTTATTGGACCGAATGATTCATAAATATGTAAAGTGTTTGGATAATATGTTGTACAGTAATATGTAAAGTGTTTGGATAATATGTCATACAGTAATATGTAAAGTGTTTGGATAATATGTTATATAATGATATGTAAAGTGTTTGGATAATATGTTGTACAGTAATATGTAAAGTGTTTGGATAATATGTTATACAGTAATATGTAAAGTGTTTGGATAATATGTCATACAGTAATATGTAAAGTGTTTGGATAATATGTTATACAGTAATATGTAAAGTGTTTGGATAATATGTCATACAGTAATATGTAAAGTGTTTGGATAATATGTCATACAGTAATATGTAAAGTGTTTGGATAATATGTCATACAGTAATATGTAAAGTGTTTGGATAATATGTTATACAGTGATATGTAAAGTGTTTGGATAATATGTTATACAGTAATATGTAAAGTGTTTAGATAATATGTCATACAGTAGTATGTATGTAAAGTGTTTGGATAATATGTCATACAGTAATATGTAAAGTGTTTGGATAATATGTCATACAGTAATATGTAAAGTGTTTGGACAATATGTTATACAGTGATATGTAAAGTGTTTGGATAATATGTTATACAGTAATATGTAAAGTGTTTGGATAATATGTTATACAGTAATATGTAAAGTGTTTGGATAATATGTTATACAGTAATATGTAAAGTGTTTGGATAATACAAATTACAATAATATGAAGTGTAGGATAATACAAATTACAATAATATGAAGTGTAGGATAGTACAAAATATATACAATACTATGAAGTACTTTTGGTCATATCATACATAATACAATAGTGCGTTGCTGCAGATGCGAACTTTAGGGCCAAAGGCGATAGTTTAGATATATATGTATATATGTATGTGTGTGTTTGGTTCACGGCGGATTCTCTACCATTCAACGTATATTGCCACCGTTGCTTGACTTATGACTTGAATTATGTGTCACAGCCTTTTTCGAGGAAGGATATTCATATAGCGAAGTTGTTCAATGTTGTAGTCCAAAGATAATAACATTTTCTAGAAAGAAGCTGTCAATGTTCCTTATAGAAACCGAAAAAAACCGAAGAACAGAGCGTTTAGAACAGCTACGGCTCTGAAGCCACATATTTCAACCCATTTTGAATCAATACCCTTATCCGCAAAGTGAAGGCTATGGTTACGAAAGAGAACCCTCCGGCTTAAAGATGGGCACATCTCCTTGTACCATTAACAAGATAGCAAATAATGTTTTGAAGGTGACAACGGATAAATGAGCAAAGTTCACAAACTTCTAGCTATATTTCACTGTCATTGACTGCTGTCATGAAGAAGATGGTCAAAGATACTGGACTCACTGCAATCCTTTTCGGCAGCATATACAAGTACGTGTAAAATTTTCCGTTGTAACTCCAGTGAACTTTCTCGCTTTTGGTTTTCTTAGATGTGGTCTTAGTAGCTGATATCCATGTACAGTAGTGGACCTGTGAAAAGTCTACAAAGATCTCTGTTTTAAGACAGACTTCGCTGTCCTTCTCAGACACTTTTTACAATGCAATATTACTATCAGAGACAGCGCGGAACTATTAATCCTCATTAATGTGCACTAGAATAATACACGTATGTAATTATGTGAAGTACTAAGTCATATGATGTTTAACGACCTACGGTGGGACAAAGGTAAG